AAAAATCAATGGTGCACTTGTATTTTGGCTGTTTAGGAACGTTCATGTGTCAAAAAAACGTATCGTGGTCTCTTTTCCCTCCGAGTTTGATTCCTGGTTGAATCACTTTAGAAAGCAAAGTTTTTTTATTTGTTTCTGGTCTCGCAGGACACCCAAATAATGTCCACAATGGTCGTTCTGGGACTCTTAGAATTACTAATAGTTTTTTCACGAAAAATAATAATAAAAAATAATTATTCAGACGAGGAAAACAAATAAACTGCCTGTTCTTGACAGTCGCATTCACGAAGTCTAAGAGACTCGATTTTATATGCTTCTATATTAAAATGCCTGTTGATATTAAAAATTTGTCATTTACGAGGTTCAAAACATTGTGAAAAATAAATTATACGTTAAAGTTTATCTATATAGCTTTTGCTTACTTGGATAACAAAAATCAAAGGGTTTTTTGACTATTTCAGGTTGTCTATTTTATATTTCAAAATAAATATTGTAAATGATAAATGTTTATTTACAAAGAGCAACCCCTAGAGTTTCTCACACATTCTTCTCAGGGGAATCTGCCTTATGAATGAGAAGTACAGTTTTATCAATGTGACGACTTCAAGCACGAAAGAAAAAATGTTCTGTGATTTCAAGTATAATTTGCTTAACTATGAAATAAAGATGTACTCGAATTTAAATAGGCAAAAGTGGGTCACTTAATACATTATGGTGAAAGATGAAACCCCCTTTTTTAAAATAAAAACAAATTCAAACAAAAGATAAGGGCTAGTAATGTATTGCCTAAGGCTTCAGGCAATTTTCGTATTTTTTTGTTTTTTTTTATTTAAAGCCGCAAAGGAAACAATTTCAAGGAACTGACAACAGAAATTGTTAAAACTAGAGCCATCTGTCAGTTTTTATTAATACTAATATACAATACCGGTTTAACGCAGAACCATGTACAGTAGTGAAGCGTATGTGAGCTTTTTTTATGATACCAAGTGTCCAGATTAACATGTCACCTGGTGGTAAGCGACACGCCTGTCCATAACAGTCACCGTAAGACTGACACAATACTACGTTTATGTGAAACGTAAGTATTAAAGCACTATTAGCCTCTATTTGTCCCACTACCAGTCACGGGTCTGTTCTACGGTAAGAGTTTGTACCAAAATCCCATAAAAAATATTACAAAAAATCATATAGCACTAAACTGAAAAAGTTTAATTTTCAACCTAAAGGTAAAGAAATAAAATCGTTGTCCTTAAGTTATATAACTCCCCGTAGACTCAATAGCCAAGGGTGGTTACCCCTCGCCACGTGTTTCCACCCTCAATATCTATAATTTCTATTCATCCCATATTCGTTCCACTGTTAGGCACGGGTCACATCTAAAGAGAGGGTTTAGGGTCCACCACGATATTTCAATGGATGTTGGAGACGTCAAACTTCTTGAAAAGACTTTTCGGACCTTATTATGGTGAACGAAACCTGCATTGCAGAGAACATTTACAAATCTCTTTAATCTACATCCCTATGTCGATTCCCCAACCCGCATTGGGCCAGCGTGATTAGACTACGGTCCGATGACAGTCCGAACTAAAAACTTAAAATCAAACAAAAAATATCTTTGCTTTGACAAAGTTCTATAGTAAAAATGTTTTTACGCGCCAAATTATGTTTTAAAAAGCGTATGCAGATAAAAAAATTATTTAATTAGTAATTTTTTTTTAGGTAATAAAATATCTAAAATAATAAAAAAATATTATTTTCCTAAATCTTTTCTAGCGAGCTTTGTGAACGTAGCAGAAAACGTCAAAATTTTCATTTCAAATTTCGAATCATTTTGATCGGGGCGCGGGCAGACGACACTCCAAGAGAACCTCACATAGTCTTATGTACAGTCGACCGTTTCACTTGGACCCCTGGTACGTCAGAGTTTTCGTATACGTACTAGGTTTTCCTTGAAGGCGCGGGAAGCGTGAGGGCTCACGTTAAACCGGACAGCGTAGCTCAATATACGTATAAGTAGAGAGTACTCGGGGTGGGCTAGTACGGTTTGCAGAAAACGCATGTTACATTTGTGTATTTTTTTTAAATTGTATCAGATAGTGTCTCTCTTCCGACTAACTGTCTTAATTAACCCCGTTTAGCACTTCAATCCATCATTGTATATACATGTAAGAATGAAAAGAAGACAAATGACGATGAAGTACGTTCACTTTTCAAAGTGAAGTAAAATTGCGCGTCTATACATGCAGTGAATGAAAACTGCCTCGGTTATCATACTGGACTGCCAGGCGGAGGTCCCGGGTTCAATTCCCGGGCCAGAAGAAACATTTGTAAGACCTACATTTATTTCTCTCGTTAGTTTGGGTGTATTTTGTGGTTGTCAAAAAAAAAGAAATATTACATATCGGGAAAACCTATATGACGAATAAATACGGAATTTTATTAACGTTGTCTATAACTTTGACGTTATACATTGAGTAATATATTTAATTGTATACATATATCCGCCATTAATAAGATTACTTATAGATGCGACAACAGCGTTCGGCAAAGTCCGTGGTTTCCGAGCTTCTCGATGTTCGATGTACTTAAGTATGACAAAAACGTCAGATTATAAGCAAGTTTCAACATCGCATTATTTTCCTCCTTCAATTTGTAATTTTCTAAATTGGAATAAACGTCTATATCATTGCTCAAGCGCATTTAAAACAACTAAGCAGCTTTGAAATTTGACCTGTTAGCACATTTGTGATTAATCAAGTATTCTAAATTCCTATTGCTATGATCAATGTTATACATGATATCATCTGTGCTCTAGCCAGATTAAGGTGTACTTTACTTTTTAAATGACAATAAAACAAATGTGGACAAAAAGGATGATGACTCAGTATTGCTGATTTTCAGTCTTCATCTAGCTATGTATTTTTTTGCTGCATCAGACCGGCAAGCGAAGTGTAAACTAGACACTAAGTAATTAGGTATACAGAGGCTGTCTGTGTTGCACGGCATGTAAAAGGTATAAAAATTTAAAAATTATAATTAATAAATACAAAATTTTATTTATTTAATGTTGCTAGGTGATTTAATCTCGGACTAATTTTATTGTTTCTCTATTTCTCCACAGACAGGAGTCATTATAATTAAATAAATTATAATATATTTTTTTATAATATCTTTCAATATGGCTGCACGCAAACTTGGTCGAGGATAACGTAATTGCTAATACAGCGTTTATATTTAAATAAAATTTGATTTATAGATATATTAAGATATATTTTTAATTCATTTTTTAATATTTATTGCCTCAACTACAGGCATAAAACAAAGTAATTATAGAAAGGCAGCGACCGAAGCCTTTTTAGCATCCACTGGTATTGCACAAGATCCTCAACCGATATGAATGAAATTACTAGAACGAAAAATTATATTTTACAAGTCTTGATGAAGCCTTAATCTCCACATCTGACTTGACGTAATTGAGGTTATGGATATGGGTATGTTAGGTCTATGGGATAAAAGTTCAAATGTAAAATTATGCGCGCGCTAAAGTACAAAACTGTGAAAAGAAGGCTGCTACGCTTCGATAGGGAATCTACATTCCGCCTAGTATAATATAAAATTTCACACAATATAAATTTAAATGTAAAAATCATTGACTTACAAATAAATGGACGACGGGTCTAATACACAAACCACGAAAAAAATGTCCCAAGTCAACCTATTTAAACGTAGTGACATGTCAAGGAATATGAAAAAGCTAAAACGTTGAATTTAAATTGTAATGTCATCGCAGTACTGTCTAATTTTGCTTGCTTCGCTGTCAGTCGAACAAACGAAGACTAAAGCGTGAATGACGCTGTGTATACGATTTTAACGCCCTATAAGTTCGGACACTTTTTAGCGCGGACTCGACGTCCATATAATTGTAAGTCAATGGTAAAAATAGACAAATATGTAGGAAATTAAACTGTTTTTTGGACGTTTCGGGCCCTTTGCAAGTCCCATGGTCACGGCTGACTGAGATGGTAAAGTCATCAACCAGTTATGTAAACCACCCTATTTTTCATTACGTTACAAAAGTTGTTAACTAAATCCTTTTTTTTTAGTGTTTTAAAGAACGCTCCAATTTACGTCACACATTTACCGAAAATACTTTTTAATTACAACTATTTTTCCGACGCTACTCCTCGGCGGCATCGACAGAATATATACCGTACCGTTCACCTACATTTATTTGTGCACCCACACAGCCACAGTTTTATAGCTCGCACACAAACACACCACCACACATACACAAAACACGGACGAGCTTTGCACTCACACGTCGAAACAGTATTTTATTCTGTTCGAAATATAATTTTGCCATTTCTACAGTCATGCCTTGAGGTTGCCTTTTTTCTACTTGGGATTTGTTTTTTTTTTAAATCACACTTAAGTTAGGATTGTTTGAATATGGAATGACCTTATATTACTTCGGTTATACCGTTACATGGCATTAGTAATTTTGGAATGGTGTCTTAAATTTAGGTGTTCTAATTTTTCTGTCTATTTATACGGACGCATTTTTTTGTATGCAAAATATAGTGTAGTAATAATTTGTCTTTTGAATATTTTAATATTAAAATATTTTACTGCAAGTTGTTTAATAATAATATTATCATTTATTCTATTTTTATAGTAATTTGTCGATATCGCTACAAGCGAACGTAATATGAACATTGGTTGGTTTTGAGCTTACGTCACCAGTCTATAAACGGCCAGAGATGTAATCAGATGAAGCCTAAATTAATAAGTCCAAAAGTTTGCACTTGATTATGTTTGTTTCGTAAGTATTTTAAATTTACATTTTTACTACGTTTACAGTTTACTGGTACATTATAAATATACTATATTTATCTTAGGTAACATTACAATTATAATACTAGTATACATAATATGCTGTCATTTACTGTGAAATTAAAAAAAAAATTACATTTTTAGACAAAAAAACGAAATGTTAAGACTCACCTGTCAACAGGTGGCGGTAAAGGCGCCATCATATGTGGATGAGGTGGCATAGGCGGATGTGGGGGGTGCGGGTGGAACGGACTGCCGGGGGGCGCAAACCCCGGCCCTGGAAAGTGGCCCTGCTGCGGCGGCGGCGGCCCTGGCGGAAACCCGCCGCCAGAGCCTGGCCGCGCAGAAGGGCTACCGAACGGCCCGGGTGCCGCATAGGGGGGTCCCGCAAATCCAGGGCCGGGGCCAGGAGTTGAAGGTGCGGGGGACGCGGCGAACGCAGGGCCTGCGGGCGAGCCTGCCGGCGGCGCAAACGAAGGGAACGGGGGCTCACTGTTGCCCCCCTTCCACACCGGCGGCACCCCCCCGGCTGCTTCGTCCAACGCCGGCACTCGCCTTTGCAGGCCCACCGACATCTGTTTAAAAAAGTTCCTATTTAAAACAAAATCTATTTTTACCAATCACAAATTTAAAAGCAATTTTAAGTGTCTGATTTTAGAGGATTATTGGAAAATAACTTTTCAGAAATAAGCTGCTTTGTCGATAAGGAGGGACCGTGTAAACCACGACGTTCTTTTTTTTAAATAAATTTAGCGCTATTATTTATAAATTGTCTTAATTCTTTTTCATTTTGTCATTATACCTAGAACCCTGTTCACCGTTAAGACATACCTCCGGTTCATGGTCTGAAAGTCACGCAAACGCTGCACGCCAATGGAGGCAGAATAATTCAAGGCAGTTGTCTTTTCAAATGTAGAAACAAAAAAGTAACAATTCCATAGAAGAATTTACTATAATCGCTTATAAGCAATTTGTATGACCAACGTTCTCTGGTGTATAATTCTAAATTTCAATATCTGAGCCGCTTTCTGATAAAACTCACGACAAAATATGGGGGAAATATTCGTTAATTTTGGGAACCTATTTCAAGGTTATTACACATTTGTATCGGGTAGCTAAATTTAAATACTTTGGCCACAGGTAGATTTAAAGGGCAACCTGGACATAGACAAGTGTCCCTGTCTGTCCGCTGTAATATGCTGGCCCGCAGGTTTACAAGGTGTACGAAACCAGTTAAAACGCCTGGTCCTGTAGATATGACAACGCTTTCAGGGTTTTGTTGGGCCTACCGTTGCGTTGCAGCGCTTCGGGGATGTTAGCGGTGGATCGCAGATGATTTATTTGCAATCATGAAAAGACGCTGCGCCTTCATGCTAGCCCGCCTCCACGATAGCAGCAAGGGACTCCTCAGTGTGTCCATTGACCTATAGGACCCCCCAATGTTACAGCATTGATTGCAACTCTACAACAGGACATAATTTTCATTTTTATTTCATTACCTACTAACACTAATCATAAGAGAATTTGTTAGTAAGAGTATGGACAAGATTATGAAATAAATACTCTATTGTTATTATTATTATTCTGCCATGTTTAATTATAATTATCGTACAAAAACGAAAGTTAATAACAATTAGAATATCGCGCATCATGTATTGTACTCCAGTTTTCGGTATGTGCTAATAAATAACAATTTAAAAATTCATAAACAGAACTTTGTTTCTAAATTTGGACGCACGTGCGAATTTCACGTGTTCCGTTTCACGTGGCCTCCACCCTCCTTCGCTAGTTACAGTGCAGTGAGAGAAAATCTGATTATAAATAGTTGGCATATTTTATATATTATATTATTATTATAAATGGAATAGGTTTTTCAAACTCTACGCATAGAGTTTACATGCAAAAAGACCAAAGGCGATATTTGAAGAAAAACACTAGCGGCGGTCAACTGTTTTCACTGAATGATTTTGAAACAAAATAATCGGGCGTTCTCGAACTTATTACTTTCCGTTATTCAAATTTCTTGTATTCTGTAGCTTGCAACCCAGGTAATCAGTCAGATAGTCTGACACATTATTATCATCATTACTTCAGCCGAAAGACGGCCATTGCTGAACATAGGCCTCCCCAAAGAATGACACTTGTTGAATGAATTACAAGTTTATTTATAAAAAAACGACTTCAATAGTTGTATTTGCCTAAATTCCTTGAAATCGGTTAACGGAAAATGGATGTTACCCAACAAACCGGATTCATCTCCTAATTTGACACCCTTAGAGGTGGAATATTTTCTTCAAATTTAAATGGGACCACTATTGAGGTACCACCTTATTTTCGACAATAAAACGAGTCATCGAGGTTCGCAAATGACGGAATAATCGAGTAACATACACACGAAAAAAAAATACTGTCGAACTAGAACCTCCTCTCTTTTTAGAAGTCGGTTAATAAACTATGTACTTTAACATGACGTACACTTTATAGCAAACTTTAAAACGTCGGTTCGAATCCGACCGGATCAAAGGAATTTTTTCTGAGTGTTCGATCTTTGTATTAATAATTATAACAAACTAGTGGAGTAATTTCACAAAAAATAATTGAATATCAATTCAATAAAAATTTAATTAATACAGTGAATAGCGACATCTCTCGCCAGGACTGGTAGCTGTAAAGGTACTAACTGGGTGATAAATCTGTCATAGATTTCTCATAGATGGCGCTACGACTAAAAAGTTGTTGAAAGACCAAGTACAAAGACACGACGCAAGCACATAGAAAAACTCGTGAGGTCCGTTGGTTCGTTCCGTGGCTTAGTTGGTATAGCGTCTGCCACGGTATGCAAGAAGACGTCGGTTCGAATCCGACCGGATCGAAGGAATTTTTTCTGAGTGTTCGATCTTTGTATTAATAACTTTAAAACGTCTTTAACTAATGTATATTCTAAACAATGATAGCAGTGTCTAAAAGACGTCAACTTCGAAGCAGAAACCGGATGAGAATTTAAAGATTGCTATGTTAAAGAAGAACCATACACTTATAAGGTCGTAATTTTTATTTATTTACTCATTACATTCATCCATTCATTTTGCTACGAAGGAATATGCATTGTATCGCTGCGCAGAAATTTTCTGGCTTAGACTACGTTGACGAATTTGTGAATGAGTTTTGTACCACTGAAGAGCTGGCCCTTCCAGATACATTGCCAACACGTACCTCTTTTGCACATCTAATGTGAGAAATGAGAATCAACCCGGTCTCTTTGTCCTAATGATCACATTACCAAACCCAGGAAATCCCGATCTGTGAAATTGTGTACTCCGGAAGCGTAGACCAGAAGTCTCAAATATATACATGGGCATCTCTATTACATAATTAAGCAAATTACACTTGAATAGTAATATTGATTAAACTCTACTGCTTATTTGTAAGGCAGATTCCTCTGAGAACAATGAGTAGGAAACACCAGGGGTTGCCCTTTGAAAATAAACATTAGTACATATTTATTATTTACAATATGTATTTCAAATATCAAAGATCGAAACAACCTGAAAGAACTAAACGGATCACAATGGTCCATTTCACATGAGATGGGTACTGTGACATTTCAAATTGTTACGTTGCATGCATACTATTTTTAATTACTCTTAAAATTAGATCAAAAAAGAAATAATTAATTCATTATAATACACGAAAACAATTACTATTTGTTTCTTTTGATGTAATAATTAAATATGACACTATATAAAGAAGAGTAGAGTAGAAAAAGATAAAAATAAATTACCCCAACTTGCAAGTACTTGATGCGTCAAACGGAAAATTTATCCATTTTTCTTTTGTTTTGAGCTTTGTATGATATTTTTGGGACAATTGTTCAAATTTCGTAGCGTTGCTGTTGATTTTATGCTTTTTTGACATTGACTTACAAATAAATGGACGACGGGTCTAATCATTGACTTACAATTATATGGACGTCGGGTCCGCGCTAAAAAGTGTCCGCACTTGTAAGGCGCTAAAATCGTATACAGAGCGCGACACTCCGCTTTAGTCTTCATTTGTTCTACGGACAGCGCGATACTTTTTTTTTTTTTTTATATATATAATAGACACACGCCTGGCCACAATCTCACCTGATGTTAAGCGACGATGTGACCGACGATGGGACATACTGCGATGACATAACAATTTAAATTTCGAATAGGTTGACTTGGGACATTTTTTTCGTGGTTTTTGTATTAGACCCGTCGTCCATTTATTTGTAAGTCTATGTTTTTTGTTGACTTTTTGTTTGATTGTTGTTTATTTTTTTATTTGGTAAGTTGTTTTTCGTAACTTAGTTACGTAATTAGCTATTTTGTTTATTAATTGTTCTTAAACTATAATCGGTTCTCTCTTTGTTACAAACTGTCTCGATAAGATATTTAAATCGATTTTTTCCATTCGATTTTACATCACTACATCTCTAGAAACTTCAAATTAGTACAATCTTTTTGGCTCCCTCATTCACTACAGTTTTAATCCTCGTAAATGGCAAATTTTGAATATCAACCGGAATCTTATTAAAGAAGCGTACGTACACATTTCTCCATAAATGATTTTGTGACTTTGTAAGGACAACTGTCAAGAACAGTCAGTTTAATCTGAGACATACCCTTCCCTGACGCTATCAACCATGTTAGTTATACAGGTCGACTCTTGGGAAATGCATAATATACTACTCGAGGCTCTTTTCAGAATGGACTTTCTTGATTCCCTATAGTTCCACAACCCGGTCTTTGTTTCAGTATACATTTCTCCTTTTGCAAAAGGTCCTGAATTCCTCATCTAGCATCCTCGAACTTAATTTCACAGGTGAGTAAACTACACTTGAAGTCGTCATATTGATTAATCATTCTCTCTCTCTGCTCATTGGTAACGCAGATTCCTCTAAGAAGAATGAGCAAGAAACTTCAGGGGTTGCCGTTTGTAAATAAACAATTGCATCCATTTATCATTTAGGTACAATATTTATTTCAAACATCTTAGATTGAGGCTACCTGCAAAAGCTAAACCGGTCACTACCACGCATTTTTGTCATCCAAATGCCGATGGATCTTCAAGATCGTCTGCACTGATATGTTCTTGGATTATTAATCGGAGACAGATGTACGGTGAAAAACTATCGGGAAATTATAAAACCAAGTCGAGCGCCTGGTGACGCACCACACCTGCCCACGACAATCAACAGTGGTACTCAGAGCTTTAAATTTCAAACATCTGAATCTGAGTCGCGCTGAGACAAAGTTGACAAATCCCTTGTGTAAGTAGTTTCAACAGCGCTTCCCTTACCCATCAAATCCGAATCACAGTAATGCTAGTACATTATTGCATGGCGGCAGAAACAGCTATGGTGGCAATACTTCCCTGGAAAAACTTTTTCTCAAAGCTAGAGCAGTTACAAGAAATGCCTTAAAAGATAACAACTTACTAAAACACACAGCTTTCTTGTGAAAGAGTTCGTCCAGGGATGTACCTTACCTATTTCTGCCGCCAAGTAGTAATGTGTTCCGGTTTGAAGGGTAAGGGTGCTGGTGAAATT